CCCCAAATTTCACATCTCATTGAACCCAAATTCACAGTCTATGAACCCAAATTCACATCTTATGACCAAATTCACATCTATTGAACCCCCAAATTGCACACCATGAATCCCACAATTCACATCTTATGAACCCAAATTCACATCTAGAACCGCAAATTTCACATCTAATTGACACCCAAAATCACATCCTATGAACCCAACATTCACATCTATAACCCAAATTCACATCTATGAACCCAAATTTCACATCTATAAAACCAAATTACACATCTATGAACCGCAAGTTCACATCTATTGAACCCAAATTCACATCTATTGAACCCCCCAAATTCACATCTATGACCCGAATTCACATCTATGAACCCGAATTTCACGATCTATGCAACCCATAATTCACATCTATGGAACCAAATTTCACATCTATGAACCAAATTCAACATCTTATGAACCCAAATCACATCTATGACCCGAATTCACATCTATGAACCCAAATTCACACGGAAAAATAATGAAAAGATATATATAAAACCCAATGAAGATATTTCTAATCATGTTGTTTAATAAATAAGAAATAATTTCATCATTCTATTAGAAAATTGTTTATATTCTTCATTTCTTCTTTCACAAAAGATCGTTCTTGATATTTTATGCAGATCTTTAAAAAAAAAAAAAATGACAAAATTCCATCCTGTTCATATAATTTGCACATTAAACCTTGAAATTAAACGCTGTTGTTCATGAACACAGCTGTCTATGTCTCACGTACACACAGCACCACACAGCAGCCAACAATAAAGTCTTGGCTTACTCTATCATAGCCCACCACACGCACACAGATAGGCCACAGTATAATTTAGTCAGAATGAGGAAAAGCCACAGCATGTGCATCTGTGTCAACGAGGAAGCTTGGCTCGGCTTCGGTCTACACTTACGCACACCAGCACACAAACGACACACAAATACTCAACGTATATACGCTCGACTGAGATACTATAATACAGACATCAACATTATCACTATATTAGCGTCACATTACTAACATATCATTTTCCAGCACTATACAACACATATATATACCTATATATATATATACCACACAGAACACATAACACAACACGCTACAACAGTACTCACATTTGCACACAACACAACCACCACTACACATATAATACTCAAAATACATTAATATTAGTAATATATACAATAAACATTTCTCTATCTCATCTACTCTACTCTCTTCATACTCTCTCATCTCTTATCGTATATATAATATATATATATATAAACATTTACTATCTATATCTTCTCATCTCTCTCTATCTCTACTCTCTTACTCTTACTATTTCTTCTCATATTCATAATCTGTACTGTAATTATCTCTATCTGTCCTTCTCTTGTAATTATATATATTACATTAATTAATCATATTATTATATTAATATATTAAATATATTTAATAGTATATTATTATATATATTTATAATTAATATATATATATTATAATATATATATTATATATATATATATCCTTCTGTCTATTTATCTATCTATATATAATGTATATATATATATATATATATAATATAATATTTATATATATATAATATATATTATATATGTATTATAATATAATATATATATATATATATATAATATATATATATATATATATATATATATATATTATATATATATATTATATACATATATATGTATATATATATATATTATATATATATATATTATATATATATATTATGTATATATATATATATATATATATATATATTATATATATTTATATATATATATATTAAATGTATATATACATATATATATATATTATATATATATATATAGTATATATTATATTATATATATAGCATCAGCTAGAGATATGAATAAACAGATAGACAGATAAAAGAGAAAGAGAGAGAGAGAGAGCGAGAGAGCGAGAGAAGCGAGAGAAAGCGAGAGAGCGAGAAAGAGAGAGAGCGAGAGAGCGAGAGAGCGAGAGAGAGAGAAAGCGAGAGAGCGAGAAAGAGAGAGAAAGCGAGAGGCGAGAGAGGCGAGAGAGAAAAGCGAGAGAGCGAGAGAGCGAGAGAGCGAGAAAGAGAGAGAAAGCGAGAGACGAGGAGAGCGAGAGAGAGCGAGAAAGAGAGAGAAGGAGAGAGAAGCGAGAGAGCGAGAGAACACGGTGCCTCCCCGCTCCCCGATTCGGGCAGTGCCACCTCGGGCACCGGCGGCGACGACCAATCATTGTCTCATAAGATGATTGCTCTTGACAAGGGGGGAGGGAGGGAGGGGGGGGGGGGGGGAAGGCGTTGTTTACCCCGAAACCTCGATGAGATCTATCGGAGAAGGAGAGAAAAAAGAGCGGCGTTTTCTCTCTTCGTGTCTGTGTCCTTTTCGTTCTCTCTTTGTTTGTTTTGCTCCTGTTTTTCGTTTTTCAGTCTGTATTTCTCTGTATATCCCTGTCGCTATTTGTCTTTGTCTGTTTCTTTCTCTGCTTCTCTCTCATATCTTCTCTCCTCTATCCACCCTCCTCTCCTCTCCCTCTATCTCCCCTTCTTTCTTCCTTTCTCTCTCCTCTCCTTTTCTTCTCTCTCTCCTCGTCTTCTCCCTCTTTACCCTCTCCGTCTCCTCTCTCTTCTCCTCTCTTCCTCTCTCCATCTCCTCCTCTCTCTCCTCTCTTTTCCCTCTCCTCTCTTTCCTTCTCTCCATCTCCCTCCCTCTTCCTCCTCCCTTTCCCTCCTCTCTCTCTCTCTCCTCCTCTCATTCACTCTCCCTCCGTGCCCCCAGACCATCGAAAAATCCGACAGATTCGCATTATATCACAGTCTACCCTAAATTTATGAATCAAAGAAAACGTCTTGATTATCGCCTCCTGTGGCTCTCCGTGACGTGATCGAAGCAATGGTTAAGTCTGAGGTGTTGTCTCGATCTTGTTTTGTTTTTTTCTTTTTTTATTATTGTTTACGAAAGAAAAGGTTTGGTTGCACGGCAAGGCTGGGCGAAACCTTCTGGGAAATTCGCTCACCTCGATGCACACACTCACGCACGTACGAGCGAATGTGTTTTGTTTTGTTTTGTTTGTTTTTGTTTGTGTGTGTGTGTGTTTGTGTGGTGTGTGTGTGTGTGTTGTGTGTGTGTGCGAGAGAGAGAGAGAGAGAGAGAGAGAGAGAGAGAGAGAGAGAGAGAAGAAGTGAGAGAGAGAGAGAGAGAGGGAGAAGAAAGTGAGAGAGAGAGAGAGAGAGAGAGAGAGAGATAAGAGAGAAGAGAGAGAGAGAGAGAGAGAGAGAAGAGAGAGAAGAGAGAGAGAAAGAGAGAGAGAGTTGAGAAGAGAGATTAGAGAGCTTAAGAACGAATAAAGAGAAGAGAATAGAAGAAGACAACAATAACAAAAAAACACAAAAACGCGTAAGAGAATCAACACAAAAAACAAAAATCTTTCACCTCAAAAAAAAAAAACGAAAATACCCCTACACCCCCCTCAAAAAACGAAAAAATACCCCCCCAAAAAAACCAAAATAAAACAACACAAGCAAAAACACGAGATGTATTAAACTCTTGGTGAACTGGCAAAAAAACACAAATAAATACATGAAAGTTTCGACATTTTCCGCAACATTGCAATTTGAGTCAGCAGCCGTCCTTGCTGTGTCGATCGGGGGGGGGGGGGGGAGGGTATTTTTGTGCATTTTGATCTTTGTTTGTCATTGTTATTTCGCTGTTTGTGTCTTGCTTTGTTGGTGGTTTGCTGATGGTTTGTGGTTTCTAACAAAGGTACAAAGAGAGAGGGGAGGAGAGAGGAGAGAGGAGAGAGAGAGAGAGCGAGAGAAGAGGAGAGAAAGAGAGGAGAGAAGAGAGATAAGATGAATGAGAAGATGAGAGAGAGAGATAGGGTAAGAGAGAGTAAGTAGAGAGATATATGAGTAGAAGTAAGATAGAGTAAGAATAGAGAGAGATAGTATAAGAGAGAGAACTGAATACTTATATAGGGCTATAACTATATATATATACTATAAGAATTTTATTATTATTGTATGTAATACCATATATATTACCATAATAGTTGTCGATGTGGTGTGTGGGTGGTATGATTGTGTATATATATATATATATATATAATATATATATACTATATATATATATATATGTTGTGTTGTGTGGTGTGTGTGTGTGTGTGTGTGTGTCGTGTGTATGTGTATGTATNATGGTAACACTAATTATGATAATAATAATAATATTATCATCATTAACATAATCATCATCGTCATCACTATCAATGTTATTACTATTATCATTGTCATTATCATCATTATCAATTTTCCTATCATCATCATCATCATCATCATCATCACCATCAACATCATCCTCATCATAAATAATAATGACCATAATAGCAATAATCCTAATCAATATCATCTCCATCATCATAATCATAATCACCATCACCATTCCCCTCATCACCCCCCATACGTCACAACCAAACCCACGACGTCATTCCCCTCATACGTCACAACCAAACCCATGACGTCATCCCCTTGCCTCCTCCCATACGTCACAACCAAACCCATGACGTCATTCCCCTCATACGTCACAACCAAACCCATGACGTCATTCCCCTCATACGTCACAACCAAACCCATGGCCTCATCCCCCTTGCCTCCTCCCCTACGTCACAACTAATGACGTCATCCCCTTTGCCTCCTCCCATACGTCACAACCAAACCCATGACGTCATCCCCTTGCCTCCTCTCATACGTCACAACTAATGACGTCATCATCTTGCCTCCATCCCTTTGCCTCCTCCCCTACGTCACAACTAATGACGTCATCCCCTTTGCCTCCTCCCATACGTCACAACCAAACCCATGACGTCATCCCCCTTGCCTCCTCCCCTACGTCACAACTAATGACGTCATCCCCTTTGCCTCCTCCCATACGTCACAACCAAACCCACGACGTCGTTCCCCTCATACGTCACAACCAAACCCATGACGTCATTCCCCTCATACGTCACAACCAAACCCATGGCCTCATCCCCCTTGCCTCCTCCCCTACGTCACAACTAATGACGTCATCCCCTTTGCCTCCTCCCATACGTCACAACCAAACCCATGACGTCATCCCCCTTGCCTCCTCCCATACGTCACAACCAAACCCATGACGTCATCCCTTTGCCTCCTCCCCTACGTCACAACTAATGACGTCATCATCTTGCCTTCCCCCGTGACAGGCGAGCGCTGAGATTTGGCAGCCTCTCCTGACGATCCACGACGGAGCCCAGAGTCCAGCTGACATCTCGGTGAAATCCAAGATCCTGAGGGTGAACCGAGAGGCACCGCCGCTGGAGGATGACGACAGCCGGACGGGGGAAGGTGGGTGAGGGAGGAGGAGGAGGGGGTGGGAG